CCCACCCTGCTTTATGCGGGAGACCCCCAGTCCTCCTTCTCCTCTGTTACAGTGCGTGGAACACTGTTTTATGACTGTGTTGCAGTCTGTGTTCCTTTTTAGAGCTGAGTCCTTCAAGGTCAGAGGTCACAGGTTACCCTGGGCATCCCCAGTGCCTGTCCAGCACCTTCCGGAGCAGGGGGGGCCTTCGACGTCTGAATAGTGAATGGGTGGGTGGCACCCGGGATCTGTCCAACCTTTATACTTGGATCGCGGAAACTGCGAGACTTTAGTGATACAAGGAATGATTTAGTAATGTCTGCAGGCTGGCAGGAGGCAGCCCTGGACCTTTCTGATGCACTCGGTCACTCAGAGAGCCAGGGCTACTGATGGCACGCTCCGACCAGACAAATTGCAGCTGGTTCTCAGATCGACCATGCAGAGAGCTGTCAGAATTGGGAAATAAAAATACAAAACCCCCGGTTAACTTTTTAGGTTAAGTATAAGTTTTCACTATAGTTATGTCCAATACAATATTTGGGATACACTTACACTAAAAAAAAAGTATTTTATTGCCCTAGCTGGTTTAGCTCAGCGCTTGGAGCATCGGCCTGCAGACCACAGAGTCTCGAGTTCAATTCCGGTCAAGGGCACCTTCCTTGGTTCTGTCACCAGCCCTGGTCGGGGTCATGCAGGAGGCAACCAATCGATGTGTCTCTCTCATATTGATGTTTTTCTCTCTCTGTCTGTCTCCCACTCTATCTGAAGATAAATGGAAAAATATTCTCAAGTGAGGATTTAAAAAAAAATCATGTTGTTTATCTGAAGTTCAGACTTAGCTGGGTGTCCTGCTTTTTCTCTGAGGATGGAATCTAAGGGTTTATCTGACGATCCCTGCCACCCGACTCCCACCGCAGGGCCAGCTGTAGCGGGTGCTGCCTTCTCCGTAGCTGGCGAGGACCCCGGCACGGGGCTGGACCTTGGCGATCCTTCCCAGAGCCCATTGTCCAGTGAGCGACGCTCTGGGAGGGCGGCAGGGCTCACTGGGGCCAGAACCCCCTCTCCTGGCCCCAAGGAAACCAGGAACTGTACGAACAATTTTCCTCCTGCAGAGTTGTGGCCAGGCTGCTGTGCCAGGGCCCTGCGGATGGCCTCCTCGGGGAGCAGGTGGGCACCAGGGCATGGCCGGCAAGCCCGCCTCACGGAAGAGCCCCTTCTCTCCTCCCTCCTCTGGAGCACGGTCATTGTTCGGGAAGGTGCCTGAGCCACGTTTTGGAAGATTCCCTTTTGAAAAGCCCGCCCTGTTCCTTGCTCAGAAGAGACCCAGCTCGGGGATGTCTGTAACCTCTGCCTCCTCAGTGGGAACAGCCAGGACCAGGAGGCCACCTCCTTCTCTGAGCGGCTCTGCTGTGGGGGGCAGGGTGGAGACTGTGTGGCCTCGAGGGGACGATGCCCCAGTGTCCACGACAACCGTGCCCTCCTGGAACCCTCCACACAGCCTGCACCACCGCGCGCCACGTGGCGACTCCGACACGGGGGGGGGGGGGGCGGGACCCCGTGGCCAGGGCACCACCCCGGACTCGGGGAGCAGCTGGTCCTATTGTGGCGATCATGACCGGCTCGCCTGGCGCTCTCCAGTGTTCAAAGCATTTCCTGTGCCCACTGACCAGCATAGATCTTTTTTAAAAAGTATTTCATCAAGTTTGCTCATCTTCTCTTAGGATCAAATATTACAGTCAAACCAGTGTCCCGTGCCCCGCCCGCCCCCCTGTCTCAGGGGCAGCTGCTGTCACGAGCCGGCGGGTCTGCTCACAGCCCACTTGCGCGTGGATGCGTGTGCAGCAGAGGATTCTGTGTAGGCGTGTTTTCAGCGTCCGGAGTGGTACTGGGTTTGCTTTGTGACTTGCCCCCTCCCGCTAGAAAGCATTTTGCATGTCGTGAAACTGCTGTCCTCTCTGAGGCAGGTTATGCTCATGTCCCCACTTCAAAGAGAGAAACTGAGCTCAGAGAGGGTAAGAAGTGGCCCTGGATCACACAGCAAGGATGCATTGGCTCTGGGACCATTCTCATCACGTCCTTAGGGTTCTTGGCTGACGGTCCTAGAATTCATTCGTTCACCAAATACTTTATTTTGCGTGTAGGCTCGGTTCTAGGCACCGGGTACACCGTGGGGAAAGGGAAGTCGTGTTCGGGAAGCACAGCCTTGGTTGATAGCACTGACCTTGAACGTTGGCCGTAGGTCCGCTGTGTCCTGGTGTCCCCCCTTCAGCAAGTCCACAAATGCTTTTCCGATCTTGACATGATCTGACGGGGTGATGAGGCCCCCCCGCGCCCGCCCCTCCCCCGCCCCGTGTCACTGTGTGTCTGACTCGGCAAGAGGAGACTTATCTCTTGTTCTGCGGCTTCGGGCAACACTCTCCTTTGCCGGCTGCCTTTCCAGTGCTTGATGTTGGGGCTGTGCCCCAAGTCTGCTCCATGCCTGGGCCAGTGACTACACCTGGCCACTGATGTGATGATACCCAGTTGCCATCTGGATGACATCTCAAAACGTGGCTTAAAAGTAGATGGGGCTGCCCTGGGTGGTGTGGCTGAGTGGTTGAGCATCAATCCAAGGACCAAAGAGTCACGGGTTCAATTCCAGTCAAGGGCACGTACCTCTGTTGCGGCTCAGTCCCTGGACCTGGGTGGGGTCGTGGGGGAGGCAGCCAGTCGGATGTGTCTCTCACGTCCATGTTTCTCAATTTCTCTCTCCCTCCCTCCCACTTTCTCTGAAGATCAATGGAAGAATATCCTCGGGTGAGGATTTTTTTTAAAAAGTAGATGGGGCTGGCAGAAGGAATCCCCAGGGACCTTCCAGATGCTTCTCTCTTACAATCTATTTCCCAGGCGACTTCCCTCTTCATTCCCTTGTCCTGGCCATGAGTCAGCTCCTGGGCTTCTCTTCCCAACATTCAGACGATGGCATTGAGACTGAGCTCTCTGTTTGTTTTCTCTTCGGTGGCCATGGGGGGCATGGGAGTTAGAATCTGTCTCTGGGAGCTTGTCTCTGTAGCACTGGCTCAGAAGCTCTGTGCCTGGAGTGTGCCCCATGAAAAGAAATGCTTGGGCACACTCATGTGTGCACCCAAACATAGAGACAGGACGTCTGCTGGTGCCTTGTGCACGCTCATGTGTGCACCCAAACGTAGGGACAGGATGTTTGCTGGTGCTTTGTGCACGCTCATGTATGCACCCAAACGTAGGGACAGACAGGACGTCTGCTGGTGCCTTGTGCACACTCACGTATGCACCCAAACGTAGGGACAGGATGTTTGCTGGTGCTTTGTGCACGCTCATGTATGCACCCAAACGTAGGGACAGACAGGACGTCTGCTGGTGCCTTGTGCATGCTCATGTGTGCACCCAAACATAGGGACAGGACGTCTGTTGGTGCCTTGTGCACGCTCATGTGTGCACCCAAACGTAGGGACAGGACATCTGCTGGTGCCTTGTGCACGCTCATGTGTGCACCCAAACGTATGGACAGGACGTCTGCTGGTGCTTTGTGCACGCTCATGTGTGCACCCAAACGTATGGACAGGACGTCTGCTGGTGCCTTGTGCACGCTCATGTATGCACCCAAACGTAGGGACAGGACGTCTGCTGGTGCCTTGTGCACGCTCATGTGTGCACCCAAACATAGGGACAGGACGTCTGTTGGTGCCTTGTGCATGCTCATGTGTGCACCCAAACGTATGGACAGGAAGTCTGCTGGTGCTTTGTGCACAACAGGAAAAATTTAACTTGCCACATCTCCAGTTCCAGGGGAATAGTTCAATTATGGCTTATATTGCCCTGGCCGGTTTTGCTCAGCGGTTAGAGTGTTGGCCTGAAGTCCGGAGAGACCCAGGTTCGGTTCCCGCTAAGGGCACGTACCTCGGTTGCAGTTTGTCCCCGGCCCTGGATGGGTTGTGTGGGTGGCGGCCACTCGATGTGTCCCTTTCACGTCGATGTTTCTCTCTCTCTCCCTTCCTCTCTCTCCCTCCCACTCTGTCTGAACAGAAAATGGAAAAATGTCCTCGAGTGAGGATAAAAAAAAAAAAAAAAAAAATTATGGCTTGTATTTATGAAAGGATAGTATACAACTATTAGAATGGTATTTTGATGGACCTTTTGTACACATCTCTAAATGTGTTCTCTTACACACACGCACACATGTGCAAGCACATGGAGAAAACAGGATTTGAAAGAAAAATATCAAAATATTACCAGTTATCATCCCAAAGTGGTGGGATTATGAGTCTCATTTTTTTTCTTTACCCTCTAATAAAAATATGTTTTTATTGGTTTTTAGAGAAAGGAAGAGAGAGGGAGATAGAAACATCCATCGGCTGCCCCTGCATGCCCCCTACAGGGGATCAAGCCTGCAACTCAGGCATGTGCCCTGACCAGAAATTGAATGAGTGACCTCTTGGTATGGGATGACTTTCAATCCACTGAGCCACACGGGCCAGGCTCTTTATCCTCTTTTATATTTTCGAGTTTAGAGACGGGAAGGGAGAGAGAGTGAAACACTGATATCTGCTCTTCCACCTGTTTATGCCTTCGTTCTTGTATGTGCCCTGACCAGGGATCGAACCTGAAACCTCGGTGCGTCGGAAGGACCCCTTAACCGGCTAAGCTACCTGGCCAGGGCATATCCTCTTTTATACGTTCTTAATGTTCTCTGCTGAGTGCATATTACTTAAAATCGGAAGGAAGTTAAAGGCATTTTACAACCTCTGGTGACATGGAGGGGCCTGGCATTCAGGGACCATGCCAGCCGGCGGTCGGAGGAGATGCTGAGCGGCTCGTGGCCTTAATGCCTCCGACGGTCTGTGAACACTCAGTGTTACAGGTTAAACACACAGTCAGTTATGAGGACAAAAGCAAGTCCTTGTTCGTTGCTTCTTTGCATGGGGTGGCTTGGCCAGGCCCCCGTCCCCGTGCAGGGCAGTTCTCCCAGCCCTCGGCCCCAGTAACTCTCCTCTCTTTCTTCACAGCTGCCCATGATGGGGGGAGCCTTCATGGACTCGCCCAACGAGGACTTCGGCACGGAGTACTCCCTCTTCAACTCCTCCACCAACATCCACGCGGCCTCCAGCGGCCAGGGCCAGCCGGAGGAGCCGCCGCGGTCCTCCAACGACGCCGTCCTGCTCTGGATCGCCATCATAGCCACGCTGGGGAACATCGTGGTGGTGGGGGTGGTGTACGCCTTCACCTTCTGAGGACGCCCCCGCGCCGGTCACCGCGGGTGAGGCTCGGGACAGAGCCCGGGGCTGCTGGCCTCTGGCTGTGCCCACGTTCTAGAGCCCGGAGCTCGGCCACACGCACGGCCCTCCAGGGACGGCGACCATGCGTCTGGAAGTTCCCCGAGCCGCCCTGATTTCCATGCTGTGGTCAAGCCGATCCAGAAAACACGGGAGCTTGAGCTCCCATCCCCCCGAAGCTTGACGGACGGGGCGAGGCCTCCAGGGGGCACTTTGGGGAATTCTTAACACTGCTTTCCGAGAACGAGACCCGAGGGAACAGCCAGTAGGTTCGAGATGCAGACATAGCTGGACAATGGTTCGCTGGCAACAAATGACCACATAGGTGTCTTGTCTTCACACAAACTCATTACGCCTGGTGCATGGGGTGCCGGCGAGAGGCCCCTCAGAATCTGAGTGCCGTCCCCCCTAGTCTCAGCCCCCAGGAATGGTGGTGGCGGTCACCAGAATGGCTGGAGACACTCCTCGGCTCACTTGCAAATGGTACCTTTGTCACCTGGCCCCTTATGAGACCCAAAGGCGTCAGGAAACCCAAGGATGGGGAGATCACTGTGCCGTGGTGAGATTCCAGAGGGGGCTTCTCACCTGCTGGATGGACTTTCTCTTCTTTTTAAAAAGAGCAGAAGGCACCGTTCAAACTTAGCTCTGCGGTCAGGTCCCTTCAGACCACCCACACAAAGATGCCCTTTGTTCTCGGAGAAATCAGAGCTGCAGGGGCCGGCAGGGCTCCGTCCACCCAATCACCGATGGGCGGGTGGGAGGGGCGTGGTTTGCCCGCGGTGCCCGTCTAGTTCAGGGGGGGGGGGCAGGTCAGGAGGGGTGCTCCCTGACTCTGCTCGGGGCTCGCTCTCCCCTCTTCTCCAGCAGGTTCCTGCCTTCTCCCCGTGGGCGACGGCATCCCCCGGGTCTCAGACTGTGTGCGAGGTGGCAGGACGTTCAGACACCCGCTCTGTAAACTCGGCTTGGCTGCCGTGTGCTCCGTTGCAGGCGTGAGTGAGCTCTGCCCACGCCGGTTCCCTCCATCCTTAGAAGTCAGTGGCTGGGGGCCTGCCACACAGGAGCCCCCCGTGAAGACCAGAGCAGGACGGGACCTTCGAGGGGGAGCAGTATGGGAAAGGGCTCATTTTCCTTCTGACCTTAGGGAAGGTCATTAGTGCACGGGGCGCCCTTCCGGAGGCGGCCTCCTGAGCGGTGCAGTGGTAGTGGGGGGCTCACCCCTACCGGCCGGGGTGGCTGTCTCCCTGCTTTCTCCCTGCGCTGTGCAAAACAGAAGAGACGGCACCCCCCCCTCCCCCCGCGTGGCTGAGAAACTAGACACTGCGTAGGAAGCCCTGTGCATGTTTAGGCACAATTGCAACAAGACCGAACTGGTCACTGTGGCCTCGAGAGAAATGAGTGTCTGGTGACAAGCAGAGGGACTTCTTCACTGTCCAGAGGCGGCCACTCGCCTTTGGGAGACGGGAGCTGAGCTGCCGTGATAACAGGATGACCAGCCCGGCCTCCAGGCAGCGCCGGCAGACAGCCAGCACTTGTCCCATCCGTCACTGCGGCCAAACCGCCACCCTTCAGCCCTCGTGGAGGTCAGGGGCTCGGGGAGCTGATGAGACGGCGCCGAGGAGAAGGGAAGTGGACCTTCTGCCTGGACACCTTCTGGAACCACCGACGGGGCCCTGCCCGCTGCAGGACCGGCTTGGAGACTGGGTGGCTGGTTAGCCACTGCGTGCCCGTCGCCCCAGCAAACGCCTCCCCGTGTCCGCCCACGAGCAAGGTCTTTCCTAGACAGAGAGCCCAAAGAGGGAGGTCACGGCAGGCTGGGGAGGGGGGCTGTGTGCGTCGTCATGGAGATCACAGCAGCCCAGGGACGCTGGCTCTCTGTCTGCTGACCTGGGGTGCCTGCAGCCCTGGTGGAGGCAGGTGTCAGTGCCCTGGTCCCCAGATGGTCTGTGGAGCTGGCACTGGAGAGGGAGTTCTGTGTTTGCCATGAGGCGGGGAGGGGAGAGACGACGGGGGCTCAGCCTCCCGGGCAACCCTCAGGGCTGCTGTTCATTGGGTATGGGCATGGGGTCTTCCCATGAAGGTTTTTTCCCCTGACATAAATGTCAGTTAAATTCAACTCTCATGTATTTATCTCTTTTCAGCATCAAGACCATGGGTAGTCAGGAGCTGTAGGGACCACACTTGGTCCCAGATTTGCATTACACAGATGACAGCGACTTGCTTAGGGTCATTCATCTCAGCCTGCCGTGGTGTGAGGATCGCTGTGTGGGGTACATTTGTAGCCAGAGTGTTGTGAGCTGTCCTTCCCGTCCAAGTTAGCGAGTTGGCGTTCTGTCTTGAATCTTAGGTAGGAGACAAAAAGAGATGGGACATCATTGTTTGAGACTCTATCCAGGCTCCGCGCCAGACTCACATGAAGTCATTCGTGCTTACAGTTACCTTTCGGCATCATTGCTCCAACACGTAGACAGGGACCGGGAGCTCAGAGCAGTGGGGTGACTCGCCTGAGGCCACACAGCACGGAAGGGATGAGCTGGGATGGGACTGGCCCACCCAGCTCCAAAGCCAAGCTCTTTCTGCAACACCATGCTGCCTTCAGTGGCTGGGTGGTGCATCCAGGGCACCTTTCAACCAGGCCCTGGATGTACAGAGGCCATTTCCCAAGGTCCCACATCGTGGTGTGGCCTGGGCCGGCTCTGGCTTCCACAGGTAGGAGGCTGACTGTCCTTGGAATGGGGCACACTCATCCCTCTGCCCAACGCCCTCTGCCCAGGCTGCAGGGTGGGGATCTCTCCAGCCTGCTCCCCTCTGTCAAGCTGAGCACACCTCTGTGTGTGGTTCGAGAAGTCCTCAGAGACCAGCTTTCTCAGGACACGTGCAGAGGGGAGCTCCATAGAGGGCCCCAAGCAGTGGGGTTTCTGCCGCTGGAATTGCTGAGAAGGGTATGGGACAGTCTCTGTGGCCGGTTGTGCTCCAGCCAGGGCTCGGGCCTCCTGCTGAGCCCCAGGGCTCCCCCGAGCAGGGGGGACAGGTGCCCCTCTCTCACACCGTAGCCTGGGGCTCCCGTTCGGGCTTCCATTGGGTGAGGTGGCCCACAGCCCGCCTTGACTTGAGGAACCAGTGCTGAGGAAGAGAGTCTGGCCTCTTCAGTGGCTGCTCCTCAGAGAAGGGGTCCTACATTTTCTGGGCACATTTTACTCCGTTGCCCTTTTGCAAGCTGCGAGGGCCCCACACCAGGGTCTGTTTGCGTGAGGGACACTTCGCTGGACAGAGCAACGCCTACTGCTGGTGGTCGTGGGGCCTGTCACTGAAGCCCCTAGCCTGGCGTGCCCTAAGCGGATGCCACCTCCTGTTGGGGCCTGAGCAAGGTGACCCCTCCGCCGGCTCCGGGTGTCACGGCGGCCCCTCCCCTTTCCCATGAGGTCAAGGTCAAGAGGTGAATGAGGCTCCCCTGACCCTCTGTGCCCCCAGAGAGAGATGACTGTATCCTTTCAGGCACCATCCGGGACCCGGGGGAGGGCATCCTGCAGCCCGTTCTAGTTGGATGGCTTGGGCGCCCGCCGAGCCTCTAGCCGACGCCGGGCTCCCTCCCCGGAGACTGGAGAGGCCTCCAGATCCCTGCCGCCAGCGGCTCTCTGCTCCGAGCATGACCTTCCTGCAGTCAGTCCTGCAAGAAAGGTGCTTCCTGCTGCCCTTTACCCCCCAGCACCGTTTGCATCTCATTTTCGCCCCGCACGCCGCCCCCTGCTGGGCAGGAGAGGGTGTGCAGAGAAATGCTCCGTTACTGTCATGGCCCCACTTTCCCGCTGAGAATCTGAGGCCCCGCGATGTGCCCGCGGACCCGTGGTGCGGGATTGGCACTGGACTCTGTGGGCACGGAGGTCGCCCTGCGTCCTCGCCCTGCGTGATGAGCCCTCTGGGGCTCTGTCCCAGGCTGGGCCTCTGAGGCTGCTGCTTTGATCCCGGAGAAGGATCGCCGAGGAGCTGGAAAGGGCCGGCGGCAGCGTGTGCGTGTTTATCAGTCCCATCGCCGAGAGGCCTTGGAGAGCTTCTACCCGGGACTGTAATTTGGGGGAGGGCAGCTGGGGCCACACAGGAAGTTAGTGGAGGGCTGGCAGGGCTCCGAACACCTGGCCCAGACACCGCCTAGCCAGCTGGGCGCTCAGCGGGGAGTGCAGGGTGACCCTGGCTTACCAGCCCCAGCTGGGTCAGGCATCACGTTCTCTGCCAGATGTCACCTGGCCCCTTCTCCGGGTCCTGGCAAAGGCCCTTTGACTGTCCCTAGAGCAAGTGGGCTGGGCCGTGAGGGGCGCCCACACGGAGCAGCCGGAGCCAGACTGTCCCTAGAGCAAGTGGGCTGGGCCGTGAGGGGCGCCCACACGGAGCAGCCGGAGCCAGACTGTCCCTAGAGCAAGTGGGCTGGGCCGTGAAGGGCGCCCACACGGAGCAGCTGGAGCCAGACTGTCCCTAGAGCAAGTGGGCTGGGCCGTGAGGGGCGCCCACACGGAGCAGCCGGGGCCAGAGCGCACTGTGTTCGCCCAGCCCAGCTCCCCGTCCTACCTGCGGCACGGCCGATGGCCCGGGGCATCCAGTGAGGAGACAGGAGGGGTGGGCCAGCTAAGCCCTGAGAGCCTAGGACACAGAGTCTGTGCAGAAGAAGCCACCTGGAGAAACAGGGAACAGGAACTAAACACAGGCCAGATGGTCCCAGCGAAGCGCTTCCGCGATCAGACCCTGAGCATTTCCCTTTGTGTGTGTGTGTGGGGGGGGGGGGGGGTCAGGGATGGGTGGGGTGGCAGGGAATAAAACAATGCAAACTCTGAAGATTGAAGACAGGGCCTGGCTGGTGTGGCTCACGAGTTGATCGCTGACCCATGCACCAAGAGGTCATTGGTTCGGTTCCCAGGCAGGGCACATGCCCGGGTTGTGGGCCCGTTGCCCAGTGGGGGCACGCAGGAGGC